TCACTAAATTAAACTGTCAATGGGCACTTGACATTTATTCTAACTTTTTAAATAGCCCAATTCAAATATGGAAGTGGTTTGACAGTTAACGATGTATATGGCCAGTTTGATTAGAATTAAAGGTTAAGCTTTTATTACTAGCAATTTCGGCTTCTGGCAGAATAGATAAGCACACAGGTCTACTTTACAGATTAATAAAATATATCCAAATCGTAAACGAAGTACTTGTTTAAAGTTAAACGTTAAATAAACGCGCCTACGTTTGTTGTAAGTATGCATAAACTGTTGTTGTTTTCCCATAGTCTTGTTACTCTTGTTATAAAGTTTCTTCGCTGTAGGGTAAACAAGCGTATCTGAATACAAAGAGATGAAACTCGATTGAGACCTCTTTACAACATTTTATCGGTGAACGCAGTCTTCTATATTCAAAATGTCCGCCAGATCCGGATTATGGCGTCGTTCCCTGGACCGTACCGAGAATTAATTTTCTTAAACTCAAACTTAATATTAGCAAGGACGGGAATAGATTTACTAATATTGTTTATAGTTTAGTGTGCTAAGTTTATATTGTAGTTGTGATGAATATCTAATTAAATTAATGTTAAACTTTCAACCCTAATTACTCATAACTCCATTAGAATCTAAACAGCTCTTTTTAAAAACATACTTTTTCACCGCACCTTTTGTCCAAACCTTTTTCGTAATAAAAATAAAAAGTACCTAATACTGGCAAAGCCCAAATTAAAAATAAACGTTCGGCATTCGAATTTCAAAACGCCTTTTTAATAGGTTGTTTGTGTTATCGTTCATAACATTACAAAGCTCACGTAATATCTCAAATTCATCAACAACAGATGTTTTGAAAAGTCCACGTTGCCGTTGTTTTTTACGGAAATGGCTCTTCATTATGTAAATACTTTCTTCTGTCCCCGGCTGAATACAAATATCAAATGTGACCTTTAACTTTATGGCTGAGTGCGTTTGTTTTATCTATGTCACACAACGCTGGCCACGTGTTTTTGCAGGCTTTTTTCTTTTTCTCATTCCATTTTTCAATGTTGTTATGGCGCTCTGTTGACATGAATTTTAAAAAACTAAAGTTTTCTTTTTTATTGTGGGATTGAAGTCAAAATTAGTGAAGTTTCATGTATTTTTATTAATTAAGCGATTCATAAGCAGTTTAACTTTGCAAAAGTGCTTACAAATCTGTCATTTAATTCAGGATTTATTATACCTAATCGTCCGTAAAACCGTACCTAATATTTTACGCAAACGTAACGTTAAAAATAGATTCTTTACAACCATCTTAGATTCTTTATTATATTGCAAACATCTTCAAACCATAGTCTAAAAATAAAATTTTACCATTGACTTTCTGAGTACGTTCAAGGCTTAGAGCCTGATCCTTTTTGCCTTTTATGTAATATCAACCATTAGCAGTGTTTCCACCGTACTTAATCCGGTCCTTAAGTCCCCTAAGACTAACCCGTAAGCTTTCAATACTTCTCAGAATAAATATGAACGGCTTCCGACATCCAATAATGTATTTTCTGAAGATGAGTAGTAAATAATCTTGTCCACAATCTTAGATCAAAGTTCGGGAGTCTTCGGAATTCTTCGGGTGTCGTCGCGAATCGGATCGTGCGATGATTTTATCGACTAGGGAGCTGTTATATCACAAAATTTAGTAGGTACTTATGTTTCGGTAACTTGGTACCATGTTTTATAGGGTTGCCGGGAATTAGGCTTCAAGTTGGGTCGGATATTGTTTCGTTTTAATATTTTAAAGCCTATTTGACAACAAATTTGTAAGCATTAGGAATATTTATAAAACCATCTGTAATGTGTACCATCTGTGTTTTTTTTTATTTTCTCAATAATTTTCTTATCTAAGTTTTTTTTTCTTGAGGAAGCCTGTAGAATGTGAGTGTGAAATTATGATCACAAGTAATTGTATTTACTGACATTTACTTACCTGACTGACTTTAGTTTGATCTGATGACCTCACTTCCAAAAAGGTCGGCTTAAACGTGATACTGACAATTACTACTGAAATTAATAATTAAATTCCGTTATAATTTCGACAAGCAATTTGCTGGTCTAGTATCAAACAGTATCCAGCCTGTGTTTGCTATCCTTAAGTGCTCAACTGTTACTGTCATACCAATAAACCTTTTCGGCTCAATATTATTACGCTTACACGTGAAAACAACGCACAATTGGCGTCAATAAAACTTTATAGCCACTTGGACTTTATTTTCTAAGCAATAAAGTTGGTTTCCATTCTCGCTCCAGTCGACTGTTAAGCCATTTTGCGTCACTAATAAATCCAGGCAAATTACTTCCATGTACATTATAAGAAAACGTAATCATAAATTGTCTTAAAGAGACGGAACCCGAAATTACTTTTCACGAAGCCATTTTGATAGGGCGCGTGACTTTTGAAGCGTTGAATCGAACAAGCCCGTTATATAAGTATTCCTTATTTGAATTTGATAAGTGTATACCTATTTTTTTTATATCCAGCCATATTTATTTGTATTTATTCTTTTTTATTGAGTTTCCACAGATAAACCGTAAATTGGGTTTTGCATTATATTAATATGAGATTGAATAAAATACGGAACTTTATATGTTTGTACCATATAGTTACTGGTTTCGATATACGAGGAGTTTAGCTCAAAACTTTCATCGTAAACTATTGGTTCCTATTTCCTTCGGTAGCGTAGTAGCATTGTTTGCACTAAAGAGGTTCCAACTTTAATTAAGTGTGGCAACACAAATGTTTGGCGGGTAAACAATGAAGTTAGAAAAATACGGAGTTTTAAAACTTTGGCGCGACGTTCCATAGTCTTCGTAATTAAATTCTTGTTGGATTAGATTTTTGAATAGCAGTTTAAAGAGTGTTTTTAACTAGGTTTTTAAAGAGCATGTGCTTTAAGATCTGTCCTCGTAACAAATAATAAGCTAAATTACGATCGGTTGTAGATTGTGTGATTTTGAGTTTTTCAGTCTCAAATTAATATGTTTTAGGTAAAATTGTACACAAAATATCCATAAAGTAGAAATAACAGCTTTTTACTGCTATATTTCTCTCTGATGTTTTACTAAAGTACTTGTAGGTGCGGTTTACCGAAATCCTTACCGGATAACGTGTTCCACGCGCCAGACGAAATATGATTTTCACCAAAATGTTACGTCGAAGCACCAATATCCGTTGATTCCCGCAAAATTTTGTTTAGCACCGAATTTCCGAAGCCATTTTGGTTATATTGCTGTGTACCTACTTACATAAAATTGAAACTAGATTTTAGCTACGGTTTATTTTATTACGTAATTTCATTTTCCAACAGTTTATGTTTTTGCTGTGGTACAAAAACCAACAGTGAGCTTATTTTATTTGTTATTGGATAAAGATTTAAGCCAACAACTAGGTACTTGCCTTCATCAAAAATAAATTATTTCGACTGTCCAATACAATAAAACATTTAAATATAATCACAATTTCCTTAATTAATTTTATGACCAACTTAATTTTATTATTTTTCCAGCAAATACTTAGGAAATAAGTATGCTGGTTGACGCTAAAAAAACGTGACGTCACAATACACAATCTCGTACAAAATTCATAGAAATCTGTCGTTTTTGACAGTTCGAAAAAAGTATTGAATTTGACTAGTTGGAAAGTACCCAATTACGTTTCATTTAGAAAATGGCGCGAACGTGAAATGTCATACGAATTTCTTATCTATGGAACGACGTTCAGATGTGAGATTCACATTTGACATTGATCTGCTATTGTTAATGATAATTAATATTTGTTTTTTCAAACTTAGAAGGTCCCGTAGAAGATTTTTTTATACCACAATTACAAAACTGAAATGCTACTAGTAGTCGACTTTATAGCGGTTTTTCCTTAACCACTGTGGTGGCAACGACACGTAGTTTAATGCAAATGTTAAAACAACAGACAAATCCAAATAACAGATAGTGTTGTTTCATGTTACTTTGTTTTTGTTTAAACATCTTTCTTTGAGAGGACCGTTTTCGTTTAGAAATGTAAGATAAAAGGAACTGTTTATATAGTCTGTTGGATTTTGATTAAAAAGGTTTATATACCTACTTGAAAATATTATGCAACTAATGTAAATATTTAAATTCATTTATGGACTGTATTAAATTAATTATGTAGTAAGTAGGCACGTGACGGCCTTTTTTTTAAGGGGGAAAATCATCGAATGACTGCTCCCGCCTGGGTGAGGCGGGAGGGAGTGTCAGACTCTTACTGCCTAAAAACCACCCCGTTCCTTCTCCTGCCCGTCGAGCCGGAGCCCCGGTTACCCGTTGGGTTCTCCACGTGACGGTCTAACGTTTACAAGCGGTCACCGGTGACCGCTCTCCACTACCTACATTATAGACCGTATTTCCAATGTTTAGAGACTACTTTTGTATGAACATATTTAGGGGATGATATTCAACAATTTTCAATGGGTTCGAAATCTTTACTTTGGTTTCCTTATATGTTTGTACATAAGAATAAATATAGGAATATACTAATTGTACGCAAGTGACTCTCACTTTTCAACAGTTTATCATTAAATTATTTTTATGCATTATCATCAGCCTATAAGTGGCCACTACTGACAAAAGGCCTCTTCTCAAGCGGTTTGGGCATTAATCACCACACTTGCTCAATGCGGGTTGGCGATTACATACTTTTAATTAGAAATTATAAGCTCAGGTTTCCTCACGATGTTTTCTTTTCATTGTTTGTCAGTGGTGTCTAAATAATCTTAGAAAGTACATATGACTTGGAATAAGTCACATTGGTACTTGTCGTTAGTAGGTTTCGAACCCGCACGCTCAGAGAAAGAAGAGAGAGATGGGCTTCATAAACCTCCGCGCCACTAGACTATAATTATTTTTAGAATATTATTATTCACTGATAATTTTAGTTCAATTAAAAGACGTGTATGTCTAAAATATGTGTATCTTCTTTAACAGGTGCTGGGCTCTGACACAGAATGGCACTTTGCGCACCGCGGCCTGCCACATGCGCGCCCGCGCCGCTCCATCGCACACACGCGCATGCTCAAGCAACACCCACTTGTAAGTCAATTTATTTAAATTTTAGTAAGCAACAGACACAAAAATAATTATTCATTTTGACCCAGTAGTTCCAGAGATCAAATAAACCAACTCTACAGGTTGATATATTAACACATTCACTGCGGCAGCGTTAAATCTAAACTTTCTACTAGTGCGATACGAGACAAATGCTGCCCGTATCTATGTTTCCTGATATGCGTTACGGCTTCTATTTTGCCGTACCAGACCCTGACTTTCAAAGCCTATACAGACGTGGAAACCGCCTATATCAATGATTTTTATCGACAAATCGATAGACTATATCCTTGTATGTACCTAGCTGCAGTCGCCCTGGGTTCTCTGTTATACTTTGAAGGATACAGAGATTTGTCAAAATCTCCAAAAAGCGCAAGGGAACTTAGATAAATCTGGTTCCCGCACAGTACGCAAAACAAGGACATCGAGCTACAGCACTGGCTGAGAATCAAATACGGCCAAATACTCGCCGTAACGCAGTGAATGTGTTAATAAGTATAACTAATCCTTGCAATCGTGGCACCAGAATCCTCCTAGCCTCCAGAGACAGACAGCGTATTTGGTCCTTGGTCTTTAGTCGGTCAAATAATAGTTTAGGTTCATTGGGTTTTAGATTCAGATTTACACTTTGGTGTAATATAACATCATGCCTTTTATCTCCGACAGGGAGACAGGCAGAGGTGCACATTGCACCAGTTAATGCCACTGTACAATGTAACACCCACTTTTCACTATTTATGTTATGAGTCCCATGTAATAGGGGGGGAGGGGGGCTATTGACATATACCGGGTACAATTCCCGACTCCGTGCGACTATGGGGATTTTATTTATTTTTAAAGACCCATTAACTCGTCGAGTACCGGTTTTAGAGACACAATTAAAGAACAATAGGTCGCGGTCACCGGTGACCGCTTGGTGTTTGACAGTTTAATACGTTTGCCGACTTGGGAATCGATCTCGGGATCCCTTGCCGCCAGTCGCACTTGCGACTAATTGGCCAACGAGGCAGTGAGAGACGCTGTGTTGTATTGGATGGCCAATATTATTCTTAAGTATATCAAACTATAAAGCTAGCATGACGCCATTCTGAAGTCACACACAATTTTCATCACATCACACCACATACCTACTTCTTTGCTAACAGGAGATTATGTCCATTAAGCTAATAGAGTGGAAAGGTAATAAAAAGGAAACTTTTATAAAACTGTATCGGATTAGTGACGTAATTAGGTCGGCCATATTATGTTCGCGTCATTAACCCGATAAGCTTTGAAAATGTCTTGAGAAAATGAACCGGTTTAGAAGCTTTTTAGGTTAAGTCATCTGCGTGTTGGTAAATAGATATTGAGGTTTGAAGTTATAGGAAGAATTTTGTGGCTGTTGATCGAGTGTTGCAATAACAACGTTCAGAGATACATACTATTTTTAACCTATTTTTTTTATGCTTTAAGGTAACATCATTATTATTTTTTTTGTTTAAAGTGTAATATTTGACTGCGTTGGCCGAGTGGACGCAAGTGCGACTGCCGGGCAAGGGGTCTCAGGTTAGATTCCCGGGACGGGTAAAGGTTATTTAAAAAAATTCGCAGATGTAGCACGGAGTCTGGAACTGTGCCCGGTATACAGCAATAGGTCCACCCCCTATTACATAGAACTCATAACATAAATAGTGAAAAGTGGGTGTTACATTGTACAGTGGCATAATGTGCACCTCTGACTACCCCTTCGGGGATAAAAGGCGTGATGTTGTGATGTTATGTAATAATTTAGTTATTTACAATATTAATATTTGTTTTTTAACCTTAACTCGTCGAGTACCGTTTTTATAGACACAATTAAAGAACAATAGGTTGCGGTCACCGGTGACCGCTTGGTGTTTGACAGTTTAAAAAAGGAAAAAAAGGTCTCATTTCAAAGGACCTGTGTGATGTACTTACATACATGCATGTTAATCTGCGATTATCACGCGATTTATTTGTAATACTTAGGAGCAGGACTTAGTATAACTGACTTCTAAAAAGGAGGTTTAAGTAAAGTTTTCTAAAAGTAATTTCACTTACTTGTGTTTTTGACGTATTTTAACGTCACATCTCTTTCTCTTCACATGGGTAAATATGTACATTCAGAATCTCATACATACACATGCACATAGACCTCAAAGGAGAGAGTATCTCATATATAAAACAGTGAATATTATCATAAATCGGTATTATTTCGTCTTCGTGTTACTATTGAGATAACCTTAAACCTCCTTACTTTAGGATTTGGTTTAAAAGACACACACTAGTACACTCATAAATAAATAAAAATAAAGTCTTCTATGCATTATTGCCAGACTGCGACTACCGGGCAAGGGGTCTTTCCCGGGTCGAGCAAAGTATTATTGTTTTTTTTCAAATCTCAGTACTAGCATGGAGTCCAGAATTATTCCCGGTATATGGCAACAGGCTCATTCCCTATTACATGGGATTACTAACATAAATAGTGAAAAGTGGGTTACATTGTTCAGTAGCATTAAGTGCTGTAATGCGCACCTCTGCGTACCTTTTCGGGGATATAAGGCGATGATTATGTAATATGTCCATGCATTAATAATAAAAAAATACGTTACTACATAATATTATGTTTGCTTCTTGGTTTTTACATGGACCCCCCTTAGATGAAGGCTTCATCCAAAGTTTTCCATTTATTATCTATTTTTCGCGGTTTCTATCCAAAATATTCCAGCGATCTTTTTATATCGTCTTCCCATCGTGTGTATTGCCTGCCTACTCGTCATTTGCCAATGGAGCCCACTTATCCTGACCTAAAACATTCAGGGTGCCACGCTCAGCAGTTATACTTATAACTACAACAAAAACGAATTCCCTGTCTCAAAGTATAATACAAAAAACCGTTTGCAAGGTTTTTAGGATAGTCATCGCGCCACTTCACAGACCACAATTATGAAAATTGGTCCTTTCCGTACCCCTACTTCAAATGTAGCCACACTAATTTGAACTCTCAAGATATAAATTTACGAGATACTTCTATTTGAATTGAAATAAAGAGGGGTATTTGAAAAGGTATATTGTTCTCTTGAAAGGTGAATGTACAATGGTACTTTGAGAAAAATTTGGAGAAATTTGATTGATTGTGAAAAATCTGGTCTCAGATTGATTTTCTCAGGATTTCATAAACAGTCTATTGCTGGACTCTGAGATTCTATACCAATGGGGTCGCCATTATCTTCAGGAGTAGTAGTTACTGCACGGTTGCTGCGGTGGTTGGGCAACTGGCTGCCGCGTAACGTGTAGCGGGTTCAATTGGGTAGTATCCAGGGAATCAAAATTAAAAATCTAATTAGTCCGTCAGTTAGATAATGAAAAAATATTATACACGTATTTTTTATTTTCTCGTATTAAGTTGCAATACTTAGATGAAATGGCGCTAAGTTTAGGAGCCGTTATGTCATAGCGTGCTACAAAATGTGACACGCTGTGACGTCACACGATATTTCAAATTAATATATCGTCGAAAGTATTTAATTTTGTGACAAAAGAAAACATACGTGTCTAAAGTTTTAAATAAATGTACCAGACGGACATTAAAATAAAATTTGAAAAACTACCCTAATATTACGAAGCAACTCTTTGTACGATCCATAAATAGTTGTTTCGGGTCTGTGTCATGTATGTTTATAAACGCCCCTACCACATAGGAGAAAATCTTAGTGTGGGGCAACTTAAAAAACGAGCACTAAAGAGCGGATTTCATAAATATTCTAAAGAGTTGCTTAACAATTTAACGATAAAACTTTTGATATAGGCTAAGTTATTAAGTCATAATAAATTTTCGAGAAAATTTAATAGCAGTAGGTAATAAGTGAAAAAAGAATTTCAGATTTGTACTAGTTACCTAACCTAACACATTAGATGTTTTGTTACTAGTTTAATAGTTACCCGTGGCTTTACTTGTGCGGTCGAAAAAAAAGCGCCTACAATGCTTTCTAACCTTCTAACTATAGTTACGAAGTTTGTGCTTCCCATTCGCGACTCACTGTCATTTTTTTATGGCATAAGCCGGTAAACGAGCAGACGGATCACCAGGTAAGCAATCGGCGTCCCCCATAGACACCTGGAATGCCAGAGGCGTTACACGTGCGTTACCGACCTTTTGGGGATTAGGAGTTTGAGGATCGTTGGGGATTCAGGGATTGGGGAGATTGGGGAAGGGGAGGGTAATTGGTCCTCCGGTAACCTCACTAACACGACGAAACACAACGCAAGCGTTGCTTCACGTCGGTTTTCTATGAGGCCGTGGTATCACTCCGGTCGAGCCGGCCCATTCGTGCCGAAGCATGGCTCTCCTACACTTAAAATTCTATATATAATTAACTACAAGTTAGTTTTTTCATACCTTATACTTTTGAATTGAGATGATTTTCTAGCAGTTCGTCCACCTTGATGACAGTCATAAGAAAGCTTATTGAGTATTGTTATATAACCAATTACTTTGTCCCGTAGCTGTTAAACAAAGGGAATGGGTAATCCTTTGTAAGCTGAGTAATAAAACACTTCTCAACATAAAATAACTATTACTTAATAGCAACGGTGAGGCAAAGTAGTTAAGTATTCATTAAATGCTATTTCTTTTCAAGGTTTTATGGAATTGCTTTTTCTAATACGATACGCTTTTTTTCATTGAAATGGTAGTTGTTGTAATGAAGTATGAAAGTTATGGGTATGTTTCCCTTAGATTCAGTTTCTAGATAAATTCGAAAATATTTCCATTCATTGGTAAATTTTAGTGTATGAAAAATGCATTCTGAATAATCCCATTCTCGGAGCTAAAATTAACTAACATAACTACCCGACCTGAAAACTGAACTCAATACGCCGTGCTTAGAAACCACTTGACCTTTAGTCTAAAAAATACAGTAACAAAAATAAACCCTAATCTTTCAGGCTACACATTTTTGCTACGCTCTCTCAAAGGACTAAAA